AACCTATTCAGCATTATTCATTTTAGTTAAGAATTTTGTTAGCATTACATTAATTTAAGGTTGATGCACACAATCAACATTGATGATTTTTCTTTTTCTTTCGTTCTTTTCTATTTGCCTATCATTATTTATACCAGATATGCAGTACACACACACACACACACACACACACACACACACACACACACACACACACACATCATTCTTAGCTATTCGTTCTATGCCATGTTAACATCACCAATATCAAAATGGACTAAGCTAACTTTTGATTTCCACGAAAGTTTATGTTTACTTATAGGCTTCAGTCATTCCAGAGACATTTGCTGTGAATTTTATCCCCTAATATAAAGATGGATTTGCTACTCGCTGATGAATTCTAAATATGGATTCAGGCTTTGAATTGCCAAACCAGAATAGCTTTCTCTTTTTAAAAACGAATTCACCTAAAAAGAGTACCCTGCATTTTTTTCCTTTTTCAACTTTCATATTGTTAAATTTCCTGATCATATTTGAGCAACCACACAGTATTGGTGAGTTTGTTAATATGCTCTCATTGTATTGCAGAAATAACTATTATATCTTAGCATATATGAAAGATAGCTGATTCAGTTTCAGTTCTTTGCTAGATACCCAATGGATGTTTTGAAAAGCATAAATTGATCAACTTGTATTTGCTGAGCATCTACTGTATGTCAGTAGTAGGAATAAACATGAGATATAAAGTCATGTCATATGAAAAATCATATCACATGAGATGAAATCATAAAGCTAATAAAAATTTAAATTTGCAGAACACTTAGGTTTGCTTACATATTCATAATCTCATTTGATTTAAATCGTGGTTCCTCTTCTCCAAGTGTATGGGTCTTGTTGGAGAGACCAAATAAGTAAAAGTGAAAAGATGATTAAACACACATTTGTATTATTCTGATTAGAAGTCTAATGGGAACTTGGAGAAGGGACTGAAAGTGTGGGTTTAGGTGTTTGGGATTCATGGATGTGAGGCAGGATTTGAGTTGACTTTGTAGGATTTTTTTATTGCCAGAGACCAAGCTTTGAAGAAAACTACAGCTGACATTGGGGCAAACTGACCCCTTCTTCTCAAAGCAGTAATGGCATATGTCCATTCAAATGCATTAATAGAACCCCCATGACTCATTTACGCAAAATACAAAATTCTTATGTCCATGTGATGGGAGAAAGGGTAAGGAGAGGGCAAGAGAGATAATTTATAATTTGCTAAGATAGGAGCATCTCATTTTTTAGAAAAAGCCCTGGGTGCAAGGGTGATGCCGCATACATGTGCATGTGTGATTCGCCAGTGTCTGGTGTTTGATGTAAAAAACGATGGGCAAAATCCTGAGGTGAAAAGAATGAAAAAGGGATAATCCACTTTTAAATAACACTAGTTGAAGAAAAGAACAACAGCCTATAGGTAACAAATGAACTGTATTTTTACCATAGAGAGCCATAAAATCAGAAATAAATAGATGCTTAACAAAACGTGACTTTGCCTGGAGAGCCCTTACCCCGAATGTAGCAGATTTTTACCATAATAACACTTGAGTTTATTTTATATGTTACATTCTGAACTTTGACCTAAATAAATATTTCTTGTGGATAACTTTACCTTAGGACTCCCACTTTAAGTGATTTCTATTAATGCTATATGCTGGCTGGTTGGGGTGTTAGGTCAAGATTTGATGAAGAAATCCTATTTCTCTTTTTTTTTCATATTTTAAAATTACAACAGGCTTTTGCTGCCTTGGGGAACATGACTTGACTGAAGGCAATGCTATTATGTGATACCGTGGAGCAGTCTAAAGATAAAAATCAGAGGTGTTCCATGATTTATCTTCCTAGTTCCAGCATGCTAAAAATCATTATTTCTCTTATTTGCATTGACATGCCAACCAATGACATTAATCATCTTCAAAGATTTTCCTTGTTCTTGAAGTCTGTTGGGGTAGTTCATCACCATTTCATAGAAAATGTTGTACAATATATCTGTGAGTCTGCCAAAAAAATTTGAGATCCTGAGATGGAGCTAAGGTGGGAATGATGTTACCTGAAAGGACAAGGACAAAGGTCAACTGAGGCTTATGGGAAAACAAAAAGTGTAAAGTGATTTACCTGCATTTTGATATATATGAAAGAGCCACAAAGAGAGTGAGTTTTCAAAGTGAGGATTTAGGGAAGACAGAGGTGGTGGAACCTGGCAGTGGGAGGGGAGGAGGAAAGGAAAGGTGGAAGAAGAAGGAAGGTGCACATGAGTAAACTATGTGTTATTCTTCTTCCTGGCAATGGGCTGAAATCTTTTTTGCCTATTTTTCTTTCCAATCAGAATGCTAATCAGCATGTTGCAGACAAAGAGATGTGGAAACCCATGCAAATATGCTTACAACATTTATGAAATTGATAGCCATTTTAACACCTAGGAATGGCCAGGAAGGGGCCTATGAAACCAAGCTGCTTCTAGAGAAGTATCTGGAAGCACTCAGCTCCATTTTAATAGTGAATACATACTTTATTTAAATGCCCCAAGGAGAATAGGGGCAAAATGACCTTGACATTCACCATAGGAATCCCAAAATCCAAAATTTGTTAAAGATCTCTTTAGCTTGAAGAGTGCCTATTTTGTTCTGTTTGATTAATTAATTTATTTTTAACTATAATAAAAGCAGATTTTACACCTTATCCCAAATAAATATTTTCCTTGGACGTGTTCAGCTTTTTGCTTATTCTTTAGGTGCTATTATATTGCTACATGCTGGCCAGGGTATTGAGAGGAAACCTTTTGTTGTCTTCTTTGTCCTTATCTATAAATCTCCCCTTATCTGATGAGGTTACAGTCCAGGACCCCCCAGTGAATGCCTGAAACCACAGATAGTACCAAACCCTATATATATTATCTTTTCCCGCTATACATACATACCTATAATAAAGTTTAATTTACAAATTAGGTGAAGTAAGAGATTAATGACAATAACTAATAAAATTAATCACCTGATGACATTGATTTGGTCACTTAATCTCTCAAATCAGTTCGTCCACTTATTTCCATCCCCCTTACCCCTCTCTAATTTGAGAATATATTATTTCTCTTTCTATGTGAAGGTGATGGGCCGGCTGTTGTGTTACTACATGATAAGGTCATAAAGACGTAGGGGTGCTGGTGATAGCTTAGGTAAAAGATCTAGTCTCTGGAGATTTCCTTGTTATTTTAGCACCCTCTCTTCCCCTTACATGGGTTTTCTGTTTGAAATGGTGACTTCTGCAGCTTCTAACCGGTCCCCTTCCACTTCCTGGCATTTTCCTCTGATTTTGGGGGGACACCTCTGTTGTTGGTAGAAGCTCTGAGCTCTTCACTGTCATTTTTGCTCTGTGATCAGATCCTGGCTCTGACCCTCACTAGCTGTATGAGCTTGAGCATATGATAGACTCTCCTGACTCAATTTCCTTATTTGTCAAATAAACAGCTACCCCTAGACTAATGGGCCTCAACCCTGGCTGCACATTAGAATCACCTGGGGAGTTTTTAAACCTCCCAGTCCTCAGGGTGGACCTTAGACCAATGACATCAGCATCCTGATGCTCAGGCCTCAGGATTTTTTTATTTTTTCACTAATTTTTTTTCAGGATTATTAAAGCTCCCCTGAAGATCTCAATGGGAAGACAAGGTTGAGAACCATTGATTCTTGATGTTTAAAAGGTCTTTGCTCTTCTATCAGTTTATGTTTTTATAATGCCCCAATCCCAATTGAAGTTTCTCTTCTTCTAATGTTTTTACTAAATTAGGAAGAAATAACTGTGAAGCTACCCCCCCCTTCCATCTGCTGTTTGTTCTTATTTACATACGATGGAACCCAGCCCACTGATTTACAGCTCTGGTTCCCTTACAACTGTTATTGAACTGAAAACATAGCTGAAAACTTATTAAACAGAAAAAAAATTATTTTGAGTTTTGTGCTGACAATTCATTATGAAACCAAGGAAAAATGTATAACTTCTTTCCTTCTAGAATTAATGTGGACCATTTATTTATAGCCCTATAATCACACATGAAAAAAATCATTCTGTGGCCAAACCCAGTTTCTTTCTTGGATGTCCCATTGAGAAAGCCAAAGCATCTCTGCCGGAGAATGTGATTTTGAGGAGTTTGCATCTATGAACAGGCAGGGCCTCCTCAAACTGCTGCAAGTGGGCCTCTAACTGAAGTGTCAGCATTTCTTTTACTTCAGTTTTCTCTTCTGGCCCATGGACACTGGCAGCAAAGCCAGGGCACACATGTTCTCACTGTGGGCATGGTCTCACTGTTCAAACATTTGGGAACAGGTCTTTCTGAAGATGTCCTTTGTGTAGCAGTCCCCTTTAGACCTACCATTATAGAGTGGAAATAACAAGACTTTTTTTGAGCTGCCGGAGGATAGAAAGGAGAGTAGGACAATGATGCAGAACAGCCAAACATTTGGTTTAACCAGTGACACTAAATTTGGAAAGAACTGAGGTCTTGAAATAAGTCTGATTCATGTTGGTGAAGTGTCCTTTAGGGTGCTGGCTCTTCCTGCCTGTTTCTAACAGGATCTCTTTCAACTGTTCCTTCACTTCTTCTGCAATGCTTATCTGAATTGCACAGCCCATACCTTTGCCTGTCTCTCCCAGTCTCTTATTAAATGATTGAAGTTAGTTGCTACTTTAGTAGCTACAGACAGGTAAGTTATTAGTTTGTATAACCTGTGGTGAATTTCTTTCCCCACATAGTTCTTTTACAGCTGGGCCACCTCATCATTCTCATGGAAATAAAAAGTTAGTTATTTTTAATGGTAGAAAAAGGGGATTTGTCCTGGGAAAATAAATGTTGCCAGAGCATGGACTTAAGCTGAAAGAACCTCTTACCATGTTGAGCATTAAACTATTTTTCATGAAGCAGATTTTGGCCCAGAAGATCTTGTCTGAAGCTTCTTGGTTTTGACACTGCCTCTTTGGGTATTTTCTTGTAGATGGAAGAGTTGATTGAAGGTGTTCGCTGGGCCTTTATTGACATGCTGGAGAAAGAAAATGAGTGGATGGATGCAGGGACAAAAAGGAGAGCCAAAGAAAAGGTAAATATTCATTTTGATGAAAATAAATATGAATTTTGGTTTAATGGATTTTCATGCTTGACGTTGACTGTGTAGTTGGTTTTTATGTTCACTGGTCTATTGATTCAGAATGACCCCAGAGTTAGGTGTCTGCCTTTGGATGAATATGTATATTTCGTTGCTAAGAGGTAAGAGAAAATAAGATCTGACTTCTCCTTTTTCTAACTGCATTTTGAAACACTTTGTAATTCAGCCTTTCCTTCTCTCCTAATTGCTGTCCGTAAGAGGCACACTGCTTGCTGCCTGGTGAATTTTGTCATAGACTATCATTGAATATGGCAGAATGCAGAGCAGTGGGGAGCCACGGAGAGCAGCTTGCAGAAGAGCCCTCAAGATGCCAAGAAGAAGAAAACCCATATTGGCAGCATGTCATTCTGCTCTGTGCATGATGTGTGCAAACGTCCTGGGGCAAATCTTTTCCTGTAACCAGGAAGATCTCCTTCCTAACCCATCATTTGGCACAAGTAACCCAAAAAGCATGCCTGTAAACTGTATTCCTAGACCACTGTGTAGGAATACCAAAGTATTTCCTAATAGAAGTGGACACTTGCTGGGCCTTGTAAAATTTTCTGATACTATGCAACAAGATAAGGGAATACATGAGAAAAGTATTGACAGACATGCTGTTTAAAAATAAAGAAGCAGACCTATCTTGAATTTGAGGTATTTGGATGGAGCTGAAACTCAAGTGTGTAGGGTACGCCTGCTACAATCTTAATGGATGCCACTCTGCAGTTGGCAGACTCTGAAATTAGAAACATTTCTTCCTTTGAGGGTTTTTTTTTGAGACCTTTCTGATGATAGCAATCACCTGGGTTGCCTGTATGTGCCATAGCTTTCTGGGCCCTGCCCCAGAAAGGTCTAGTTTAGTGGCTCAAGAGTGCAGGCTGAACATTTGTGAATTTAGCCAGTCTCCTAGGTGATTGTTATTTCTAGGCAGGCCGGGCTCAGGGAGCACCGCTTAGAGTCATATTGAGCACAAATCTTTTTTCTTTATGGTCAAGAAATAAAGAGGGCAATATTCTGGGAATGCTTAACCTTGTTAAAATGAGAACATGCAGAGGTTTAGCAAGGATATTTTCTAAAGCTTTAAACTCCCAAGATGGATAAACATTGCCATAGATACTTTTGTCAATAGACATGAAAAGGCTGTTTGTTCAGTGTTTATAGCAAAGAAAGAGCTTGGATGGTGGGTGGCAAGGCAGTGCTGGAAGAAGACAAAGGGTAAGTTTGAATTTTTTTCCCCTCAAAAATCTGTCAAAGCTGTCTTAAGTCACGTTAGGCACAAGCTGATGAAGGCAAGAGCACATGGGCTGTGATGGGAAGCTCTCCAGATGGTAGACAACTTTCAACACCAACATATTGTTGTTTTCTGAAGGCTTCATGTGTTTGCTGAGCTAGCTTGTGATATCTGAACAGGATATGTCTTACACTGGGTAGTTGAGTGCTCAGTGTATCAGGGGCTCTTTATCCTAGCCTGACTCCTCGTGGCCTGAGGGGTTGCGTGCATGAATTAGTACAGGGCCACCAGTGTGGAGGGTGGGGTGCAGTGTGTGTTGGGTGTATGTGTTATGAATGACTAGATGCCAGGGGGATGTTCTGGGAAAAGCAGTATGGGTAGAGATAGTTTCAGGAAGCTCTTCTTAGTTGCATAAGGAAGTGGGTGCCTTGCAGTTGGGTCTCTGGGCAAGTGGCCCATAGATCCTTGAAGGACTATTCTCAGTCCTTCTAATATTAGACGTACCTGTTCCTGTTTGTCACCTTCCTCCCTGAGTTGCTCTCCGGTTTTCTATTTAATTTCAATGAGAGTTGTCAGCATTTCTTCTAAAAGTACTCTTTGAACACTCTGCTTTCTTTGAGCTGAGTTCAACTTGCCGGGAACTCCACTAGTTCCTTGACAGGTACAAATATCAAAGGCAATTGTCCTACTGGATCTCACCATGTTCCCAGAGTATATCTTGTATTTCAGAGTTCAGAGAAGTTACTTTAATGAAAGGCAAGAAGGAGGGATGTTGTCCAAGAATTTTCAGCAGTACTCTGAGTCGGATCCTGCCCTGGATCCCAGAGGATGTAGATTTTCTTTTTCAAAAATTAAATGAACTTGCAGTTCTGGAAATGACCTCTGAGTGGAGCTCTTAGTACTCACAAAGAACACTTACGGAACAGAAGGCTTTTATGCAGCTTTCTACTCTGGAGTTGTTTTTGAAAAATTATTTTTTTTTTCTTGCCCTTTTTCTCTGCTGTCCTCGATTTGATTGCCTTTTAATAGTCAACAAGAAAGGAGAGGCTCTGCCTAATAATTCCTTGAATCTTAGATGGAAATCTATCTTAGGGCTTTGTCTTTCTGATACTGAGTAGCCACTGCATTAAGAAAGGATTTGCCTGCATTTGAGGTGGAGGTGAATAATTCGCCTGCTCTTCCTGGTATGACTTGGCACTGTTCTTTGGGCATGTGTTGTGTGCAGTATATCACCCAGGCGGAAGATTTCTCATCAATAATAGTGCCCACACTGGGCCAATGCTGAGTCACTTGGCAACCCATTGGGAAAGCTGGAAAAATGTTCTGATTTGCGATGGGGAGCTTTTCTTTCCTTCACCATGAAGTTCTGGACTGCGGCTAATTACAGTGCTTCCTAAGCGATATCACCTCCGTATTCCACAGTGAGGGACCTCCTGAACTGGGCAGATCCAGATACCTGCAGTGGTCTGAGGCCTAACACCTTGGCTTTTGTGGCAGTAACCCCATCTCCAAATGGAAGTGTGTGGATGTGGCTTTGTTGTGCTCTTTGCTAGGGGCAATCACTGTAAAAGACGAATGAGGATGCCTCTGCTCCCGTGAAGGGTAAATTTGTTATCTCTGTCTCTCTACCTTTTCTTGCTCTATCTCTTAAGAGGTCACTAGTGGCTTTTGTGTTGTGAAACTGATGGTGCAGGTTTTGAGTAGAAATTTAGTATTGTGAAATAAGCATCAATTTTTGTCTAGGATTCCCTGTTCCCTACAAGCATATGCTCTTATTGTAAACAAGCAGCAAAGGACAGAAGGTCTGTTTTTTTTTCTTCTGGTTTTCATAGCTGTTGACTGAATGTATGGTGATAAAGGGAGGATTTGCCCTTTTGAGGGCAGAGGAGGAGGATCTCAAGGTCACTACAGAATGATTCTGAGGCCTGGCAGGAGAAGGTCTCAGCACCGCCTTGGGCTGCCCTGGCCAGCTCTGTGTCAGATCAAAAGAAGTAGCTTCCTGAATTCAGCTCCTCCCCAGCTAGATTCGATTCTGTAGCCCAAAGCTGAATCCCTTCTGATTATTTGTCTGTACTCTTTGCCCCTGGGACCCAAGCTCATCAGGCCGCACCGAGAAAAATATCAGATGGGATTCACAGGGAGGTAGCATCCTAAATTTGCTGTGAGGGAGTGGCCTTTACCTTAGCCATAGCAGGTGCAGAGAAGTCTACTACACGGTCCCAACTCTACTGGCATGTCACTCCCACGCACAGGCTTTGACTGAAGTGGGAAGCGCTCTCTTGCAGAGGGCAAAATAGGTGGAGCTCACCTCTTTGGTCTCTAAGCTCTGTCAATCCTTGGTATTGGATTTCACCCAGGTATGCAGTCAGTGCCCTCATTACAACCCAACCCAGTGGCTCCCAAGGTGTGGTTCCAGACCAGCCTCAGCATCTGGGAACTTGTTAGAGATGAAAATCCACCCCCACCCCC